CTCGTTTGCATGCGACCAGCACCAAGTAGGTAGTTACTAAATTCGTACTCGGTGGATTTTGGTACTAAAGAAGCTTGGTAAGTGGAGGTGGGATAACATGAATCAGGGTTTGGGGAATTCGAAAATGTGACATTCGCTGAGGCCATCGTTCTAAGCTCTAGTTAGGCTGTTCATAAATTATAGCATGTCAGTCACACAAGAGCGGTTCGGGAAAAAATCCGTGTTTAACTGGTGATATGAAGTTAACAATAGTAATAATGTTAATTCGCAACTTGTGGGTGGCGTGCCGTTAGGCATGATCATGTTGGTAGTAAGGTGATCCGAGACGGCTTGCTTCAGAATGCGCTCACTCACGTTGCACAATGTGCTGGTGAGGCTGATAGGCCTGTAGCTGCTGGGTGTCGGTCGGTCACCAAATTTGTAACTTGGCGTGACAATCACTTCCTTCCAAGCAGAGGTGACGTTCTTCAAGCGATAGACAAAAGAACAGTGTGAACGACGTTTCCTTTGGGATCCTCGGGTGTAGCTCGTCTGGGTTCAACGAGCCGAATGTGTTGATCTTGCACAAGAGTTGACAAATGCCACCCTCCGCGAAGACCAAGTAGGTTAGAGACCGTTTGTAGTTACGTCTTGACAAGATTGGATGCAACGAGGACGCTTGGGTTGAATATAGACCTGCATAGTGTACCCTAGACCTCAAATACCACAATTGTGTCGCTTGTAGGTTCCGCGTTCCCATCACACAAGGAAAACACGGTTGACTCATTCCTGTGGCTGTCTCATGTGCTTACGCAGTATAATGGTGTTTTCCGGGCAAGATCTGGGATGGGGGCCTGTTTTTGTGCGTTCATTTAGCGGATTCCTGCTTTACAAGGGTCCGTCAAACCAAGCACGAAAATAGTACAAAATATTTTGGAGATTTTTTTCAGCAGAACTCCGCGTACCCCTAGTGAGATATGTTCAACCTGACGTTTATACAGTGAATACGTTAAATTCCATTACAAAGCATATCCACGTGCCTAAAAGTGCTCACTATAGACTTTTCTTTCTTTACACAACCTTTTGGTGACTACCCACAATTTTACTCTAATAAAAGGTTGACAGGAAGTCAACATTTGTGTTTTTGGGTATCTCAAAGCAAACCACATACGTATCCACGACTTTTTGCACTCAGAACTTTCAGTTGCTTTCATCCTGCTTGCTCATATTTTATGCTGTGTGTAGCTGTAAGCAAAACCAATAGTGCTCTGTGAAGCAACGTGCTAACGGAGCAAGTCGAACGGAGGCCTCCATTTCCAACCGTGTACTCGTGGTTATCTACGTACAACTTTACCCAGCCATGGGTACCGCTAGTGGAAACCGCTATGAGAGCGGCTAGGCCCGTTTGGACGAATCGTATGTTTGGGTATGCCTTGTGCATGAAATGACTTTTAAAAAAAGGAGTAGATGTGGCAAGTTTCGCTTGTCGTGACAGGCAGTCAAGGGAACGTCCACACAATTCAGGAGGGTTGACGGTCAAAAAGAGTAAACAGTGCTTAGCCTTGAAAGTTGCGTTATACATCAAGAGAAGTACTGAATGAACCAACTGCGTAAGCTCACCCAAGTGAAACATATGGAATATTAGTGGCACGCATGCCAACTTTGAAGGAGAGAGGTGTGCAACGATGTATAATACTGATGAAGCATGTTAGTAGTGTCTAGTCTTGTGTCCAAGCTACACCTTCACACCTAATGAGAAGTGAGCGTTACTACGGAAATCATGAAACTGCTTTGTAATGTTCGTTCATTATTGTTTGATATTCAAACAACGTCAAGGAAAGTTCAAAAGGGCGAGTGATAATGCTCACTTTTCAAAAACATTGTACAGATGAGTTGTGTACTTTCGTGCTTAATAACTTGTAGCTTCTCATTCATTGTTTCTTGATAAACAACTCCGTAGCAAATGGTATTTCTCCTTTTGCTAGTATGAGGGATCGCCAAAATACGGGATGTTCCTAATAGCACTTGTTGAATTCATGTTAAGTGGGATCCATTGAGTCGATTTCAGGGCTATAGCGTTCCAAAAAGGAATGGGCGGTCAAGAAGCTGTTGATGTCAGTTGTTGGGACGGATCACCGTGTGTGATGAATTAGTTGTGTCATCTTAAAAAAAGCTTGGAAGTACGCACGTGACAGACGGAGATCATCATACTGAGTTTGTGCGAAAAGAGGGATATCATAAACGTTTGTGGTTAGAAACTACATTGTCAATTATGCTTTTTCGTGCTTGATTGGAAGGGATTTCTGACAAGCCTGAGACTGAGGGCTCTCAACAATCGCGCCCTCTGTAAAGGTTTTGGGGGTAGATACTAGGGGGGCTTAAAGAAGTTCAGGGTTAAATTTTGTAAATTCAAGGAGTGTTATCGCAGCGAGAGATCTTGGTGAGGTCGGGGCCTGGATAGTGAGATCGAGTGTATACATCGCACCATTTAGTCCTGCGAGTAGTTGGACCGCTTTATCGAAGGGAAACAATGCCAGATCCAAACGGGCAGGCAATGAAAGAGGCGCAACTCGGCCATTCTATGAGATTTTTTATATTTTGGCGCCCTCTGACCACTAAAGACAAGATCGTAAGTAGTTTTAAATATACTTGCACTATGGCCCATTAAAAACAACAGTTCAGAAGTTCAGACTCTTGTATTCGTAATGCACTGCTCATAAGGTTGCTGAAAACTCGTCGACGGTCCACGACCGGTTTCGCCCTTCCTGGGGCTGATTAGGTAGGTGCAGTCCCCGAGCTTCCGTCAACCGTATGTTCTACTTGAAATTGAATTGAACGAAATTAGCGGATAACACTCATTTGCAACTTAAATTGGTTTTGCGAGAGACTCAGCTGGAACCCAGCTCAATTTCTCGGTTTTGATGTTTCCAAATTTGTATGCAAATGAGTGTATATTCGCTAATTCCGTGCAATTTGGTTTCAAGTAGAGCATAAGGTTGACGGAAATCCGGGGACTGCGCCTACCTGATGAGCCCCAAGAAGGGTGAAACCGATCGTGGGCTATCGACGAGTTTTCAGCAACCTTATGAGAGCACAGTCAGTTGCCTGAAAACATCACAAACGAGAGATTCAGCTGGGTTCTAGATGAGTCTCTCGTAAAACCAAATTAATTTGCAACTAAGTGTAGTAGCCATGTTCATTTTCATTATTGGACTAAGTGACAACACTCTGCTTTATCGACACCACTTTTTTGCATTTTCGAACGTTTATGAGTGAAGCTAAGTTAGATATTTGGCCTTATATCACTACAATTCTCCTTGAAGGGGGGCCGATTAATCCGATTTCCAAATAGTAGCTGCTGGATAATTAGGCCACAAGCATAAATAAGGTCGAAACTTTGGCTCGATAAAGTCAATCATTTGCGTCCGGTTCGCGGAGCACTGGTCTCGGGGTTCGTGTGAAAGCACTACGTATCCACACTAGAAAAGTCAAGGAGTTTCGTGCCGACTGAGTGACAGAATGCTTTTTTTTGGAAAATTGGGGAAACCATAATATCCTAATGACCTAAGAGCCTGTTGGTGTGACTAGTGACCTCGTCGCATCTATGATTACGAAGGTACGCAACTAGATGAACACGTGACAACTTACCAAACTTACAGTCACGTGATCAACAGTCTCACCCAAAACCGGTCAACGTATTGTATACTTGGTATATCTGGTAGCTTAAGAATGCTCCTTAGTCCTCCCAGAAGTAGCTAAAAACAGTTAAAACGGAATGTCTTTTGACAGAAAACTACTCATAGCGTTGCTGAAAACCATTCAGTAGCTCACAATCGGTTTCATCCTTTGTGGATCCCATCAGTTAGGCACAGTTCCTGCGTTTCTGTCAACTTTATGTATTGCTGGAGCAAATACTTTCATCTGTGAACGAAATGCTGCGAAAGGATCCTAGATCAGACTGATTTCAACGCTGTCAATTTTACGGAATGATTATTTTCTTCGGCAGGTTGCCAGTGCATTGCCAGTGATATATAAACCGTAACCGACTGGATCAACACTGGGCATGTGTATCAACCGCTTTTAAGAAGCGATGCTTCATTCACTGACTCTACCACACACAGTCCTGATAAAAACCTTTTTGACAGCTGACAGTGCGTGATAAAGAGGTGAGGTCGGTCTATTCAATACTGGAGGTGCATAAAAGAAATATGGGTTGTATGAGCAACGTGAAAGCGAAAACCACGTATAATCAAATCTGACTAGATGATTAGCTTTGCACGTATCCTTTCGTGTAGATGGTTTTGTCCTGCCTTATTAACACCCAGCTGACCACAAAACACAAGAATTCGTATGATTTTTACGTAGGTTCTTAAAATCTGTATGTGTTAATTCGTAAGAAAGAAATGACAGAAAAAAACGGCTGGTTTTGAAGCGCTTTGTGTACCATAAAATCAGCATGAACTGGGTTTAAACTTCATGAATGTCCAATAAGCGCAGAATTAGGGAGTTCGTGGCGAAATCTGTGTGGTAGGACAACTTAAAAACAACCTTTGGTCTATTTCACGCAGGACAACATTACTGTGCTTCAGGTGAAACCACAGCGAAAATGACCGGCGCATACGTGGTAGTAAACTACTTCGAAGTAGAAAAAAAGTTGAGGGAGAGGGGCGGACAGTCTTTGGTGTTGTCTTTGCTGGTCTGAGTAGCATGGGGTACAAGGGGAAGAAGAGCTCAGGAGAAATTAGTTTCCTTCTTGGACTCTACACTGTCCAACTGACAACAGTTGTACAAGTAACGGTCGGTTTGAACCACGAAAACAATTGTTCGTCAAGCCGGTGAATATTCATGAATCGCCTGTTTTTTTGTCACTTTTTATGATGGGTTGACTGAACGCGTAACACAGGAGGACATAATTCCAAGAAGTGACGCAAGTGTCATAATTCCACCTTTTGGGCAGGGAAGAATCAGGTGCATAAATAACAGATGTGCGCGTTTGGATTGGATGGATCATGGAAGAATGTTTACCTTTTTGCCCTAAAAAGGTTAACAATACTCTTACGAACACTGCGTTTCTCTGGTTCTTTCCCCGAAGCGGTCCGTAATAATTGAGGGTGTAGAAAATTCGGAACGTGTGGTTGTTTTTGAATCAATAGTGGGAGGACAGCCAGTTCCTGCGCACAAAGTGAGGCGGTAGAACAGGCATTCAAATAACTGGCGATTATTTGTGCAGCTGTGAATTCATTCCGACATGCAAAAGCAATGCCAACCTCTTTGAGAGCGGTTACTAAAGGACGACTAAGCAAGGAGGAAGGAGGGATTGAAAAATTGCTCAAATCCAAAACAGGATTATGCTTGGCTAACTGATGCGCATATGCTACCTCTACGATAGTTGGAATGCGAGCTGCATAATGACCATGTTGTCGACCATGATAATAATCAACCACGTCACACAGAAGCGTCATAGCATCATCGAAGTAACCGCGGTCATTACAAATTCGCGCCATCCGATTGATGACGTCACACCACTGTGTTTCTTCTTTCGGGAGCAAATCTTCCAGCAAGCGCATGGATTGTTGCATAACACGTATTCCAGCCTGTGGCTGACCCCAAGATATCAATTTTTGTCCGATGCGTTTGTACTGTCCAGCAATAATTTCCCGGTATCGTCCTGGTTCAGGGTGTTGTTTTAATATATCCAAAGCATCACCAATCAATTTTTGAGCTTCTCTGAACTTCTTTTGTCCTCCATAGGTGATAGAAAGGCAAACAAGAGTGGCAGCTATAATGGGATGTGTGTCCGTATAAGTTTGTCTTCGCAATGTGATGACTTTGTCCAGTAAAACGGAACACGAATCAAAGTCATCAACCTCAAAGAATCGCCTCGCAACTAATTCCAGAAGCGAGGCGTATGTGGGAATGTCCTGAATGTCCGGGGTGGACTTCTCATTGATGCGTTTGATTAACTCATCAGCGGAACTATAGTCGACCTCTGCAATGATGGCATTAACTTCAGTACCGGCTGATCCGGCGTACTCTGCATTCCACAAACTGTCATACCGGACTGGTTCATACCATGATTCAGAGTCATCTTCAGCCAGATAAAGTTCATAATCCAACTGGCTGAGGGAGCAGAGCAAGTGCCAGTAACTTGTTTCTTCCTTTGCAGCAGCAAGTTTTCCTTCGGCGTCATGTATCCTCTCTATACTATAAGCAATATCTGCCTTTAATTCCCGGTTTTCCCTTGAAAGCTTTCGTAGTTCCTGTTGTCTCTGTTCTGTCTGCTGTTGAGCCATCATTAGGCATTCCGCCACGGTTACAAATAAACTGGTGGAAGCCACCATGGTTTGAGATTTGAATTTGAGTTGTGCATAGACTCGGTACTCCTGTGGGCTTAGACTCGTGGGAGACGAACCTTTATTTGGTTTGTTTACTCCTTCCCCGATAAGCAATTTAGCATTAATCTTTTCCGCAAGCCGAGCAACTATGTCACACGAACGTCTGAGTGAACAAAGCGTGGAATTTTCACTTGGCCGAATGTCTGACGACGCTTCAGTCCATTTTATTTGTCGCAACATCACTCCCCCATATTTTAGTGCCTGAATACTGTGGAATTTATTGTAAGGATAACGTCAAGGTCACTAGCAAAAGCAACGTGTCTCCTCCAGCAGATCAATAACGGATTCAAATGTGGTTGGTCAAACATGTGATCATCCAAGAAGTGTTCAGTGCACAAAAATATTACGTTTTGTTGTTTTGTTGTTGAATAAACGAGGATGTTGTCACTTTGGGCCAGTCCGAATTTCGTGACATTCTGCTTCATGTACTGAGAAATATTTATTTTTTTCAGGATTTTAACAACGTTTCCTGCTTAATGCAAAGTCTGGATTGTATATTAATTGCCAAAGTCGATAAAGTTGGTACTCTAGTACATTTGAAGGCGAAAATTAGTACTGTTTACGTGAGAACCAATTGAAAGCGTAATTCAGTAGATTGCATCAATATGTGAGTCCAACGCAGTTCGGTCGTCTAGACCCATCGCGATACTCAGAAGAGCATGGTCATAGACATGAAAAGTAGATGTAATTGATGGATGTGGAAGGGTCACAGGAGAATATTCAATAGAAAGAGAGAAGCCTCCCTTTCGAAGTCATCCCACCAACAATTACAGTCAGACAAGATGAATCCCAATGTATGTAAGAATGTCTGGTATGGAAACACGCGTGTAAAACCAACAACCGAGGAAAGGACAGATAAGGCTGAATGCTCTTCAAGGCGTGGTAAGCGTTAGCACAGTCGAGACTCGCATATCAGGCACAAAGTGTCCGCCATACTGGGTCTGATGTAAGATTCAATGACAACAGAGTACACGCAACGTGATGTGTAGTAAGTACGCGCAGAGCCCACAATGACAAGCAAACACAAGACACTGGCTGTGACCTTGGGGATTCCCAGTCCAATAACAGACTTGGCGGTCATGAGTTACTCGTGCCAATTGTAGTACTTTGAACTCAGCAACTGTGATGCAAAAAACTGACCAAAAGTTCCCGAATGAGACTGACCCGCAAACAGATTGTTTTTAAAAAAAATTGAGTTCTTTACTTAGGTTAGACTAAGATCAGGTATGTAAGATGAACACGCTAATTTACTGAACCCCGTCGGGTCACCGACTTATCACAGCTGCAAACTGTAATCAATTTCCATGACAGTTGGTAGTTTAGTTGTATGAACTCTTACTGTGTGTAAAAAAGGTGTGATTGAAGTTCATTTGAGTCCACACAAACGTCTGTTGACTGCACACGTTTGAGTTGTTAGGCTCAATGGTGACACTTTCCTTCGTGGCTGGGAGGTAATGACTAATCTCGTCCCGGTTGCATGGTCGGGGAACCGGAGAGCGATTTTCTGTGTCTGGTAGTCTTTAGCCGATGAACCAGACAAGGATACGCTGCAACCCGATCTAGTACTACCGTTAATCATTCCCATGCTCTTGTGTATGCACAGATAGTTGTCACGGCCTACGGAAGCTGTTCCACAGAGACAAGTCAAGGATTACAAAAAAACGAGCTTTTTGTTCCCCGTGTGTAACTAAACCGCAGGAATTAATGGTTGGACCATAATTGGTTTGGAAACGTGAAATAATTCAAATAAAGCATTTCTTAACTGTTGCGTGAGAAGCCTGGTTACGGTCTATCTTTTTTTCGTCTTGGGGCTGTCTGATCCATTCGGAATATATTATTTATGATGAATAGCTTTTTTTGATGTACTTCACTTTTATTTCCTGTGTACTCCTCCTAAACACTTCTCTAGCTCACTCTGTCAAAAGTAGCCCGAGCTTGGGTTGCACTTTAAGTAATGGGAAACTATGGAGTTCCAAGTACTGACAACTTCATGGGTTCTTGCAAAAAATGCTACACTGCAGACAGTCGCCTTCTAGGCATTCCAGCGAGACACCTGGAAAGAATGAGACTGAGTCCACTTCGTATTTGATCGTGAATTTTATACATGGATTTTGCTGGATTTTACATCCGATAGAGATTGTCTATGTGTTCAGTTCTCTCGCTTCTTCTCTCTCTTCAGTTCAGCGGAAAATAATATCAGCCAGTCTCGAATATTAATATATTCCTTAGGTTATCTGACTGAAGCCGCTGTATTCTAACTTCACCAGTTCGTCTTTTCGATGTCAAGCGACATCAGTGAATTCAAAGTACCCTTGTTCAGTGCAGGACAAAAGTGGTAGTTCGCTCTCTCTATTGGGGGGAGGGTATTCAGATACGCCTAATTTTGTTGGACGTGTTAAAACAAGTAATCAGCAGCTTTTTGTAGCGGCGAGTTCGTAGACGACGATGAGATGCCAAGAGGCATCAGTATACTGTTTGACATTTTCAGGGGGCCGATTTGGAAGGTAGCTTCCAAACTACTTTGTTCGAATGGTCTTAGTCAATTATATAAGCTCTGTTGGTCACTGCGCTCATGTAAGTTAACGCGAGTGGCAGTTATCCGAGGGAGACCGCAAAGGTATACCTTCTTTGTAGATCTTTGATAAACCATACTGTCCGTGTTGGGCAGTCGAAACGTTACATCGCCGTTCTTCCATCCATGACTAGGAACGGGCAGTAACCTTCCCATATCTCTTGTTCTGTCTTTTCTCTTCGCTTTCCAGAATCTTTGCTTATTTGCTCACATAGTCTCTTTCACCAAAAAAAAACAGTGCTCGCACCCTTGTCCAGCTTAGTCATGCATAATTACGTGTTTTGGATCAAGAAATGTGGTTCATCTGAATATTCCGTTGTCGGAATACCTCTACTGGTGTCTGCGTAGCTCATGTATTCATAACTCGAGTTCACCAGAGTTGACTTACGTCGCCCACTATCGTAATCAGAAGTTGGAACAGGCTCGTTAATGTGAGCATAATTGTTTTTAAACTGAAATTCTGCGTCCACTCTTAGAAGATGCGCGGCAAAACTCTGCGACTCATAGGTGCAGAAGCACATCTTTAGGATTAGATCATTCGGTGGTGCAAACTAGATTCAAACAGTTGTGTTTCCCCAACCGAACTGGCCAAAAAACTCCCTTCTCTGTAAGATGGCCTCTGTTGAGAAGGAAACCGATAGAATACGGTTACAATAAGCATGATCCTCTCCAACAAGATCAACATTTTCCCTTACTTGTTCTATTCGCCCAATTGGATACATTTCTTCACAGACGACTGCCAGAGAAAGGAAGAAAGTAAAACCTCTGATACGTTTAATTATGAACCGGAAATGACCAGATTGGATAGACATGATATGTTTTGGTGCTGGCTGATCCGCTGACAAAATGATGGAAAACGCACAACCTAAGCAAGACAACAGAACTTTGCGAACCGACATGAAAATGGACAATCGTTCGGGTGGTCAAGCGACTTTAGTTTGAGTTGAGGGTCGGGGGTCGGAAAACGGCTGGGAGGTTAGGAAGCAAGTATTAACAGCAATGCATGTAGGCGACTGATAGATAAAGAACTTTACAGAACTATTCTCGGCGAATATTTTGTTGATCTAGAATGTGTCATGTGGCGTAAATGGCCCTCAGGGTCCTGGTCATGAGGTTCCGCTATGGTAGACCTTTGAAAAGTTGTACAATTGTTTGTGACCGAAGTGGAATTGTTTAGAAAATAAAGCATATTATTTTGGTCCATAGAAGTTGGATCGAAAAATAAATATGAACGGTCTCTCCCAAAACAAGGGTTCTGGTAGGCCAACGTTGAACAAGTTCCCGCTGGTTCATAGTTTATGTGGTGGACAAGTCTGGAATCCGGCTCCAGCAGGTGGGATGGTAGTGCTTGCGGTTTCCAGTCATCATCAGCTATAGCAAATGTGGTGGAGGAGCACCAGTGTGTCGGTCTCAATTGAAGAAATTCTTGCATTTGGTGGATGCAAGATGTGCTGTTGTTTTCTATTTGTCCATACGGAGGGCAAATGCTTCGATAGTTGGGAGTTACGGACGGCAAGTCTTCTCCTCGACAAAGAGACGACATACTCTGAGATGTGCAATGCTTTGTTTGCTTGTTTCCAACAACCGTGTATTTTTCATCCCTTGAAATGGAGTTTATTGAGGCCGGTGCCGAGAATGTTCGAATTCGGTGTTTCGATTCATTCCCCTCGTTGAAAATGGGAGGTTCTTGGTCAAAGTCCAGATCTATGGTTTGTTTGTTGGGGCTGTGGGTGGTTGTCAATTGGGTGCTTGGATCAGCTAGCCATCGATGAGATAAGGATGATCGGGACGGAATATGCTGGTTGGCGATTAGCTTTATCGTTCCAAAACAACTGCGGGCGTCATAGAGTGGATTTTCCGATATCGTAGATAAGCTCTGAAATGAGGAAAATTCGGAAGGTGACATAACTTGCTGGAAAGTAATCATGGGAAAACCATAATATTTTAAAGCGGAAGTAAGCGGAGTTCCGGTCGCACACTGACCATCAAGTTGCCTCCTTGAGACATTCAGAGACATGAATATGGTGGCTTTCTTCATCTCCCACGTTATGTACGCAGCTGAAGGCTTTGTGCTCAGGATGAGATAAATTAGTTTGGAAAAGGAGCTGAAACGCTCAGAGTTGGTGAGGTAAAGTTACCATAATTTAGTTGGCTAGCACGACAAGATGAAGCCTTGTTGCCGATTCATTGAAAGAGCTTGTGACTAGACGTGTCGATCAGTCCGTCCAAAAATCTGTACCAGACAATTTAAAAGAAGTGGCATAGTAACACGTCGAACTTTTCCGTTTTAGAGTAGCAGCTGAATCCACTGTGAAATTGTTTTTTTTTTGGTTTCTTTGTGCGATCGGAATGCTGTTACACTCACGGTCTCTCAGCCAGGTGATGACCAAACGTGCAACTTGGCCAGTTCAGTAATTATATACACTACGCTTTTGAGGATGAAACTGTGAACAGTGTGGTTGTTTTGTTTGGATATTCCGTTCCCCCACTTACTAACGGCACGCGGAGTTCAGGGAATCAACGATTTATCTAACGTCCGTGTGCAGATATCTTTTGATGCTGGTCAGCAAATCCAGCTCGTCTATTCCCTGGGTTAAGCTCCCATGAATGCACGCGTGTGTATTCGACCTCGAAAGGACACGAAAACTGGCACCATTAGGAAACAAGAATCATTAAAAAGAGCGGGATGTCTGTCATCCTTGGTTACAGAAGAAAGAAACTCACTTGAACAAATCTGTGAAAGCCTGCCTCAAGTGTCTAACTGGGTAGAAAACGGAGCGATCAGGAAATCCGAGTCATTAACTAATTCTAGTCAACTCGCAGTTAGACAAAATATAGCGTCACGTAACACTCAGGCGCCGGTGAATACGTGACCACGTGATGTGGTTTCCGTGAATGGAGTATGAGTGGCGATTCATCCCGTCCAAGCGCGAGCTAATCACAGTGATAACCAATCGCTGTTGGCGGAGTGGTCAATTATTCCGGCTACTGCCTGGAAGGCGGCGGGTTCGAAGCTTCTCCGAGTTTTGTTTGATGCTTACTATTGGTGATTCCCAATGAGGATAAAACAGATACACTTTGTATTTTCATAAAGGAAACTACCCACGAGGTTGCTGAAAATTGTTTAACAAGTCACTACCGGTTTCGCCCCTTCTTGGGGCTCATCAGGTAGGTGCAGTCCCCGAGTTTCCGTCAACCTTATGTTCTACTTGAACCAAACTGAATCATGAGGCGGCCTGTATGCAGCACATTATATCATAAACGAGAGATTTCGGCTGAGTTCTCGTGGAAACCAAATTGATTTGCAAATGAGTGTATTTCTCGAGGTACACTGTGCTTCTCAGCCACTCAGTCTAGATTGGATTTACTTACAGGACGAGGTATCAGTTGGAAACTATCAGATCTCTTCAAACTATTGTAAAATTTAGATTAGTGGTAGGTACCATGACTCACATTTCCATCACTATTGTTTAACTAGTCCCTCTGTTATCCAGGCACAATAGTGGAGCTCATCAGATGTGCCTATTCTTGGCGGCGCCTGGTGTTTCAAGTCCGGAAATGTGACACGCGAGGCGAAGATTCTAACACTACCACACCACCTGAATAGGCATGTCTGAAAATGCAAAAGTGTTCACACTTGAACGACTTCATCATCATCATCGAGGCCATGACATCGGTGCTCAAAAGTGATGCTTTGCCGCCGTAAAAACATGATTTATTGGAAAGCCCTACTGTGGGAGGGACTTAGCGCTAGCTTACTGCAATCATTCCTAGGTGCCTACACCTCAAGACACTCATTTAAGCAATCTGGATAGAAACTGACAACAAAAAATGCCACTGACAACGGTTGGCAGTCATACCTTGAAATGCCTCCAACCAGGCGCAGTGAGGATCAAGCGGTACCCATCCTGGAAGGTGAGTAGCACCGACAGCACCCAAGCGTTTCGTAATCTCAGTTATAACACTCTACCATGTCAAGGAGTGGCCACCTCTCTGCTCCTGCCACTCTGAGTTTGGCATGGAAACGACGATTTGGCATATGCAGTACATCGCCTAACCAATGCAGCTTCTGGTACTGGACACATTCTTTAATGAAAGTCCCCGTTACACAAAAGAAAACTCGCTTTCTGATTGCCTCGTCACGAATTCTCCGACACCAATCCACACAAGATATGGCTACGAGACAACGACTGTCAGGCACCTAAAGACAACTCCGTTTCACTGATTAACCAGATAAAGTCTCACATCCTTACAATGATGCGGTTGGTTTGATCCAGACCTCGAGGAGGATTTTTCAGACGAATGACATTTTGCAAACCCTTAAAATTCAGCGACCATCCACACCTAATCAATAATTACCTTGCACGTTTGGAGCATTCATGAAGTTCTTGACAGGTAAGCAAATCGGTATAAGGTTTTCTCTGGATACCTCGGTAAACCGATCACATAACTTGAGCGTACAGATATTCGCTTGTCGGAACGTGACAGTTCAGGTGCGTCCAAAGTGTGCTTCTAGAGTCATGCTAGAACGCTCGCCTTGAAAATCACATGTCCGGATTTCACCCCCAGTCTGGCCAAGAATATGTACTGCTGGTGAGCTCTAATAAGAGGGGAATTTAAGTTCAGTGTCTCATTCCTTTGGTGTGGACTCATCAAAATAATTGTCCCAGGAAAAGAGGGTGATTTTTCTAACGAGAGTGACGCGCATATAAATTCACTGTCAATATGAAGTCAGTGACATTTGCTGAACGCGAAGTTAACTCAAAATGGCTCGCATCCAGTGGATCCACGCTAGACTGTCAGTTTCAGCCAGGCTTGTGCGCTCAACGATTCGACAGGTGATCTGCTTGTTCTTGCGTAAAACTTGATTTGGATCGATGAAGTTGGAACACAGGCTTAGTTCATTTATGCATTAGACTTTTGTTAACGTAGTCAAAAGTGATTTTCTATGGTAATAAAGCTGATGAGATGAGGGTGGTCAAAGTGTGTCTGACTTTAACTGTCACATTTCTATGGACCTTGAAGATAAACCGAACTTCCTGTCTGCCCGAGTGTTGTCGGCCTCTCAAGATGATTTATCCAGAAAAAACTTTCTACTGGAACGATACACTTCATTCTGAACCTCCAACCGACTTAAATTGAGGCTACTTTGCAAGTGTTGCTGTCTAACTTAGCGTTTGAGCGACTCTTCCCGGTGGGCTGTCAACACTCACTTCTGCCATTCTGCCTCCCTTCGCAGGGTATGTTTAAATAAGGTGCCATATTTCTAAGACAACTAACCACTGGCCTTCTCTTACTGGTGTCGCCGTCAATTCTGTTGATGGTACTCGTGAAGTATCGAAGGAAATTCGCATAGGATGACTAGGCCGCACACTCCGTGACCTTGGATATTTTGCTGCCGATTCTTGGCTACTTTGAACCAGATAAGTAGCTGCGAACACGCTTAGCCGGTGGGTTTGAAAATGTGGATGCGTTAGAATGAAGAACAGAATGTATCCGGTCGGTGATGACAGTTGTTTTCGCGTAACATTTCCATGAATGGTTGGTCAATTCTCCACAGTTTGAGTACGAAAAGTCCCCAACAGGGTGGCACAAACATTTCAGCCCAGTTTCTACCCCTCCTTCCGGACTGGGCCTGTTTAGTGGTTGCCGGTAAAAAATATCACTTTTTAAATGCAATTTTCAAACTTCTAATCATAGATGTCACGTTTTAGGTAGTTTGTGCCGTTTTTGACGAAACGGGATCGTTTAAGTCCCACAAATTTAGAAATTTATGCCAGGTTAAGGAGAATCGACTTGTTATGCGAATATAAATGCCGATTCTGCAGCGGTGAACCCAAACAATCTTAGCGTTCAATATTAGAGAGGTTGATAAAAACTACCAAATGCCTGGAAAATTGGAACTTTTTGTACATCACTATAACATGTATAGATATTCAAAATAAAGCATCTTTTTGGTAGGATGACAGAGCCAAACATATTCACCCAATGGGATTAGACAAATCAAATAGCTTCTCCGAAGAAAGAACACATGCATACAGAAGCCATTGTATTGTTCCCCATCAACCCTGATTTAGTTCCCCCTCGGCAAACCAGAATGCCATATTTTTTGTGTCTCCTGTGTTAAGGAAAATCAGCGTACTCTCTTTGGTGAATGGTGGATTTCCAGACTTACACTAAAACATGTTTGTTTACACTTAACCGAACATTGCTCAGAAGAATTTACTGAGGCACAAAATACGGAGACTACAAGTCCCCAGGCCTCCGACAATCGAACCGTTTGGAACTTGCATCCATTTGTTCGAAGTCACGTAATTAGAGAATGTGTTTCAGAAAATCGAAAATGAAACTTTGTTACACACAATGACTTTCTTACCTACGTCGAGTTTTGGTGCAACCTTGGTTATAACTGAAAATCTTTTTCGTCACTGAGAGATAGTTACAGAATTTTCACATTGGTTTGGCTCTAAAGCTTCCCGTTTTATTCGGGATACTCAGAATTCAGACATATCTTTCGGCAACAACGATCAGATCTAGTAAAGTGTTTTTTCTGTTCTGCAAAACAGAGCACGAATTGAATGTGTTTTGACACTGCATGAAATCACCACACCTGATTATGTTTAGTGTTTTAGTTACGCAAACTCGCACTACTGAGAGACCCAGTGAAATTCAAGGAAAATTACACTTACAGGCAGGTTTTGTGTATCCACTTGTTGATTGTCACGTGACACATGACACTGTTTCGGAGATCTCTTCCTGCGTTCACTTGAAAGCGCAAGCGGAAAAAGCACAATTGGTCTTTGGGTGTTTGAACTGCGTGATAAACCTGCTACACATTACACTATCAACACCAATAACCCTACTGTTGTTCTAGGT